AGACAAAGTATATGTGAACTGCTGTATGAAAAGTGAATTTACTCTGTAAATCTTCACCCAAATCCTAAAAAAAAAAAAAAAAAGTGTGTTGCATCAAGTCAACTCTAGGGTTGGGGCCAAGCAGCAGAGTGGTAAGGAATGTGTGAAAATGTATCGAAAGGAGGGGCCCTACAGCTTTTCCATGAGTGAAGTGAGGGGCTGTGAGGGCCTCAGATTTGGGACTTATCTCTTGGCTGCTCCAATAGTTTTGTCTATCTTTCAGAGAGGTACATTTTCCTAGACATGTAAATTTTAGATGTACGATGTGTCGAATTGCTGTATTATGTTTTCATATTTTGTATAATTTTTTATTACTGATAACATTTCTTAGCAAGAATTATGTCTACAAAGGCAACATGGTAACATGTATGTTGATTTGGGGCTGGTACAATTTATCTTTTGGAAGGGTTGTATCATGTATCTGCTAATGAAATCACATAAAAGTGCAATCTTGTATCATTCTCCATACCACCACATGTGAACATATGTCAAAGGGCAGGTGACTGCATGAGAACTTAAACGAACACACGATAATACAGAAATTGTTTTTTCTGTCAGAACCATTATGCCTTGTCAGGAAACAGATTCTAGATTAAACACACAATAATATAAAGCAATAAGATTACCATTTTGTCAAATTGGCAAAATGAAGTACTGTTTAGCATAGCTGGTGAGTTTTATCTAAAAGTTTACGAAGTGGGTTTTTTGTAGAAAGTTGAAAGACCAAGTCTGATTACTGGTGGAGCATTATTGTTCTTAAGATCAAAAGTTCTCTCCTCAAAATTAAGAGGGGGCACTTACTAATAGGGGAGCAGACCTCTCAATGCAAAAGAGCCCATTTTAAAATTCAGGTTGAAGAATTAAGAAACGAGCTACTATAGCAGATAAGTGACACCAATAAACACTGTGGCCATTTTCCTGAAAGGACATTCCCCAAAGTTTCTTGCTGCCCATTAGTGTAATCTGTGCCATATTGAAGGACTACTCAGTGAGGTACAAGGGGCTCTGGTGGTGTAGTGGTTAAAGCATTCAGCTGCTAACCAAAAGCATGGCAGTTCAAATCTATCAGCTGCTCTGTGTGAGAGAGATGCTTTTGTCAAAGATTATAGCCTAGGAAACCCTATAGGGCAGTTCTACTCTGTCCTCTAGGGGTGCTGTGAGTCAGAATCAACTCCACGGCAGTGGGTTTGGTCTGGGCTTTGCTTCCATAAAGATTATAGCCTTCGAAACCCTCTGGGGCAGTTCTACTCTGTCCTGTAGGGGCGCTGTGAGTCAGAATCAACTTCAAGGCAGTGGATTTGGTCTGAGCTTTGCTTCCATAAAGATTACAGCCTTAGAAACCCTGTGGGGCAGGTCTACTCTGCCCTCCAGGGGTACCATGAGTTGGAATCAACTCCACAGCAGTGGGATTGGTCTGGG